AATCCGAACAAAAGGCTACAGTTCTTGACCTTCTGTAGCAAATGCCTCAGGCCCTCCTCCAAGGTTGTGTCATCTGTATAATGCAGGTTGTTAAGGAGTCCTCTTCCAATCCTGATGCCACATTCCTCCTCCTAAACTCCAGCCTCCCAAATGATCTGTTCCATATACAGACTGAAAAGGTATAGAGACGGGATGTATCTCTGCTGTACACTTTTTATTATTTTAAACCATGCAATGTTTCCTTGCTTTGTTCCGACCATGCCTCCCGGTCAAAGTACAGATTTCACATAAGCACAATCGAGTGTTCTGAGATTCCCTTTCTTCTCAGAGTCAGCCACATTTTGTGGTGATCCGTAGAGTCAAATGCTTTTGCGTAGTTATCAAAACGCAGACATTCCCCTGGTATTCTCTGCTTTCAGCTAAAATCCATCTAACATTGACTATAATGTCCCTACTACCATGGCCTCTTCTAAACCCAGCCTACACACCTGGTAGTTCTCTGTTGGTGTGCTCTTCCAATCAGTTTTGGATATTTTCAGCAGGGTCTTGCTTGCATGTGACATTAATGACACTGACTGATAATTTTCACAATCTGTCAGGTCACCTTTGTTTGGAATGAAAACATATATGGGTCTCTTCAGGTCAGCTGGCCAGTTGGTGGTTCTCCAGATTTCTTGGAACAACCTGGTGAGTGCGTCTAGAGCAGCATCTGTTTGCTGAAATCCGTCAGTTGATGTGCCGTCAATTCCTAGGACCTTGCTTTCTGCCAATTCCTTCAGGGCATCTTGAACCTCCTCTTTCATCACCACAGGCTCTTGATCATGTGTTATTTCTTGAAATTCTGGGTCAGCCTTTTCTTTCTGGTATAGCGACTGTATTCCTTCCATCTTCTTTGATGCTTCATGAGACGTTCAGCATTCTGCCCACAGCATCCGTAAGTATTACAACTCGAGGCTTGAATTTGTTCTTCAGTTCCTTCAGCTTAAGAAAGTCTAAGTGAGTTCTTCCCTTTTGATTTTTTAATTCCAGCTCTATACACATTTTCATCATAATACTTTGCCTGATCTTCCATGCCGCTTTTTGAAATCTTGCTCTGTAATATTTTTATTTCCTCCCTTTGCTTTGGCTTCTCAGCTCTCTAGCGCAATGTCCAGAGTCTCTTCTGACATGCATTTTTCTCTTCTTCCTCTGTTTTTGTAATGACCTTTCCATTCTTCATGGATGATATTCTTGATCTCCTCCCTCAGCTCATCTAGCCTTTGCTCATTAGTATTCAAGGCCTCAAACCTGCTTCTAAGATGGTCTTTAAGTTCAAGAGGGATGGTCTCAAGGTCAAACTTTGGTTCTTATGTATTTTATTTTATTCTCTTTAGCTTTGGTTTAAACTTGTATATGAGTCGGTGATAATTTGATCCACAATCAGCTTAGTTTTCACAGCTGATACTGAGCTTCTCCAGTGATTACTTTCCCCCCAGATGTAATCAGTCTGATTCCTGTGTAAGCCATCAGGTGAAGTCTGTATGTATCATTGATATTTCTGTTCCTTACAATAGTTATTTGCAATGACTAAAGCATTGATTGTATTGAATTCTATCATTCTGCCTCCAGCCTCATTCTGGTCATCAAGTCAATGTTTCCTGACTACCAATCTTTCTTCCTCATTCCCAACTTTTGCCACTCTGGTCACCCATTATTACTAACATATCTTGGTTGCGTGTTCGATTGATTTCAGATTGCAACACTTGGTAGAAATCATCTATTTCCTCCTCTTTGGTTTTGGTTGTTGGTGCATAAATTTGAGTGATAGTGATATTAACAGCTCTTCCTTGTGTGAATACGGCTGTTATCCTGCCACTCACACCACTGTATTTCAAGATGGATCTAGAAATGGTCTTTAACTATGAAAGTGACCTCATTTTTCCTCACCTTTTCATTTCCAGCATAGCAGTAGGTCATCAGATCAAGATATTCCCAGAAAAGCAAAACCTAAGAGAGTTTGTAAAAACAAGACCAGCACTGCAGGAGAAACTCAGAGATGTCCTTCTTACAGATATACCACAGAAAGCT